CAGCTCAGGCAGGTCCTGCAGTTAGAGATAAGGCCTTCAGCAGAAAGATGCTGTCAAGGTGCAACTCTGACGCCGCTGCTGCTGCGTGTTCAGTGCGCTAGTGATGACTGTCAGAGGTGTAGATAAGGCGCCATCTGAACAGTTGCATAACTGAACTCCTTTGACTCTGAAGATGTTGTACATCATTGCGTCACTTTTCTGTCTGCCTTCTAGGCCCCTGCTGGACGTCTTCGACAAGTGCTACTACATCTCGATACCCTACGAGGAGTGCAAGAGGAGAAGAAGGTGAACAATGAAAGATTTCACTCATACTGTTAGGAGTTTTTCATCTTTTCAAGTGGAAGTTCTCACTGTATTTTTGTCACTTTCAGTACGAGACAGTACACCGTCCCTGACCCTCCTGGCCTGTTTGATGGCCACGTGTGGCCCATGTACCTGAAACACAGGAAACAGATGGAGGACAGTGGCTTGAATATCGGTATGTAGCAGCTGGATTATGTGAGGACATCTTTGCCATCCATGTATGTTGGCAGTAAGAGCATTAAACATATGACTAAATCATTTTCTTTGCAGTGTCCCTCGATGGCTTGAAATCCAAACAGGAAATCTACAGCCAGGTGTATGAAGACATTCAGAACAACCTGCTCAATCGTTTATAGGTAAGGAGGTGGAGGGAGTGTGCTACTGTGTCATTAATGTCATAAACCGTACACAAGTTTAGACATTTATCTCCTACTGGGAACAGTTCAGCTGTTTGTACAGCTAAAACACTCAGATTTTGAAGAAGTAGATACATCATACAACCTGTACAAATGTTGATGCAAATATTAACGTGTGGAGTTTGCAGACTTGTTTAACAGTTTTGTTTTCTGTGTCTTGCAGCAGGAGGACTCGTCTCCACACCTGTACAGAATCTGTAAATAGACCAGTGATTTTTTTTGTTATGAAGGTTTTTTTGTAATATTCATTTTTTTGGTAAATGGATGAATGAATGTTAACTTATCGTTGTCTTTTTATCATTTTTCTGATGATCAATGTTTTAGTTATTTCTGTGAAGGTGATTGTTGAACTGCTCGTTACTTTGTTACCATTACATTAAACAGCTTGTATTGGACCATTTGTGTGCCAGCCACATTCACCTGTCAATAAAAGCATTATTTGCTGTTGAAGGGAACAAACGTGTTGTTGTTTCTGTCACCGTGACATAAAACGTCTGCAGATGACGTTGGTGTTGGATCACATACTGAATGTTATCAATGCCGCTTGTTGCCTTTCATCTTAAATCCTGACAGCTGTGACTCACTGAGCTCTCAATAAGCCTGCCAGGGTCTATTAAAGCAGGCCTGCAGTGTAAAACTGATGACCGTGTAAAATCAGCAGGCTTGCGTTTTGTGTGGCATTCTGTAAGGAGGAAAATGAATCTTTCTGTGTTTAAAGAAGCAGCTCAGTGACACAGATTACCCGCCTTATTTAGAAGACATCAAGTATATAATGTAAATTTATAAGGATTTGGGGGCTTTCTTAAAAAGAGAAAATGTGAACAGGAAAC